AAGCAGGTTGAATCAAAGGAGGAAAAGTTAGAACAAACTGGTATACAGACGCAGATTTCATGAACTGTCTTAGAAATGAAATGTAAGGGATCAGTTCTTTAGCTAACAATTCTCAGTCAATGGAGTAGCAGGTTGAATCAAAGACCGGAATGTTAGAAGAAACTGATCTATATATGTAGATTTCAAGAACTGCATAGAGATCTAAGGGAACAGTTCTTTGGCCAAATTCTCTCATCAAATGTGGAAGCAGGTTAAATCAAAGACCAAAATGATAGGAAAAACTCATACATACATACATAGATACATACATATATGCACACACATATACATATATGCAGATTTCAAGAACTGCCTCAGAAATGTAAAGTATCAGTTGTTTGGTCAGCTGCTCACAGTAAATAATGAAGCAGGTTGAATAAGACCGAAAAGTATATATATACATACATACTTACACACTTTATATATATATATATATATATATATATATATATATATATATATATATTGAACAATAAAAAATATTAAAAATTAAAATCTTCAGGTACACTCGGTTGTAGATTAAAATTCTTTCGTTTTTTTTTATTATTATTATTTCATTTAAATTCCTCGACTAGTTTCGGCCAAAATGGCCATCATTAGGAGAAGAAATATTTCTGTTTGATGGTAGCAGTGAACTACAGAAATGAATGTCTTGATGGAGAAAATGAACTTTTGTCTGTAGTTTTCATTTGTTTTTTTAAAATTTTTTTTTATGTTTTTAACATGAATCTTTTAACATTCCTTGTGTTGGTCAAACAGTCTCTTTTAAGTTGTTATTTGAGATAAGTGCTGGATGGATCTATGCTGCTCTGAATTCCCCTTGTCAGTTTGACAGTTTTATTAGTACTGGAGAGGGGATGTGTCTCTGTTAAGTGTTTGATATGTGTAAGCGTGTATATTGCTGTGGATGTGTGTTATCATTTGGCTCATTAGGGAGTGAGTGAGTATGATGCGTGTAAGTGTGTATGTTCGTGTGGGTGCGTGTATAAGTGTGAGGCCTCAACACCTCCGTAAGCATGTCTGTCTTGTTTGGGTGAGAAATGTGGGTAGGTTTTGATGTGTGTGTGTGTGTATATATATATATATATATATATATATATTGATGCATGTTTCATTAAATAATATAAACAAGTTTTGTCTATTTATTTTATGTAAATTCTATTCATATCATCTGATAAGCTTAAGAACATTATCATTAAAAGAAGAAAGAAAATCACGATATTGATACATAGTCTTTAATCCTATCTAAGCTTATTGTGATTTTCTTCTTTTAATGATAATGTTATTAGGCTTATCAGATAATATGAACAGAATTTACATAAAATAGACAAAGCTTGTCTATATTATTTAATGAACATATCAATATATATATATATATATATATATATATATATATATATATATATACATACATCAAAACCTACCCACATTTCTCACCTGAAAAATATATATATATATATATATATATATATATATATATATATATATATATATATATATGCAGGTTTCAGAAACTGTCTTACAATTATAAGGGAGAAGTTCTTAAACCAACTGTTTTAGAGTAAATGGTGAAGCAAGTTGAATCAGCAAATTGGGAAGCAGGTTGAATTGACAACGGAAAATCAAACGGATATATATATATATATATATATATATATATATATATATATATATATAGAGAGAGAGAGAGAGAGATTAATTGGTTAAAGAAATGATCACAGTCACATATTTCTAAGGCGGTTCTGGAAATCTGCATATATATATATATATATATATATATATATATATATATATATATATATATGTGCAGATTTCCAGAACCGCTTTTAGAAATTAAGGGATTAATTCTTTGGCTAAATGTTCTAAGTACATGTGTAAGTTGTTTCATTGAAAGACCGAAAAGTCATAACAAACTGATAGCTATATGCAGATAGAAAGCTCCTTCTTAGAATGGTTTGCGTTATTTCGTACATTGTATATTTATATATGTTAGATAATAATCTCATCATGATATATTGCAGTTGACTGTTATATGTGGCTTACTTTTTATCACATCCTTTGAACGATATTATTATACAAGTCTGCATCGAAATGAAATTGTATTAAAAAAATATTGCTAAGTGATTTTACCAATCTGCCGTTGTGTCTTCAATGTTGTTATGGCTCTACCAATTTTTATGACTATTTGAACGGACTAAATAAAACACTGAATACATTTCAGTGCCTGACTACTTTCATTAACTTCCTATGGTTTTTACTTCAGTATATTTTTACTTTTATTAAAGAGCGTTTTCTGAAGTTTAAATTTAAAAAGAAAAACATGAATTTCCAGCAGAATTTGAAGAGCAAAAAGTAAATGAGAAAAATAATTTTCATTCAATGTAATTTATTTAGCGACTTGAAAACCTTTCTATTCTATCATTAATGAAAGTATTTCATTACGCATCTGATTTTTTTATTCAGATGAATTTCTTTCGACGTAAATCGGTAGCCCCATCAATGTATCTCTATTTATAATTCGCTTTACGTATGTCTGTATGTATGTATGCATCTATCTATCTATCTATCTATCTATCTATCTATCTATCTATCTATCTATCTCAAACTGTACCTTATCTATCTATCTATCTATCTATCTATCTATCTATCTATCTCAATCTGTTCCTATCTATCTATCTATCTATCTATCAAACTATCTATTATCTATCTCAAACTGTACCTTATCTATCTATCTATCTATCTATCTATCTATCTATCTATCTCAAACTGTTCATTATCTATCTCAAACTGTTCATTATCTATCTATCTATCTATCTATCTATCTATCTATCTATCTATCTATCTATCTCAAACTGTTCCTTATCTATCTATCTATCTATCTATCTATCTATCTATCTATCTATCTATCTATCTATCTATCTATCAAACTGTACCTTATCTATCTATCTATCAAACTGTATCTATCTATCATCTATCTATCTCAAACTATCATTATCTATCTCAAATGTATCATTATCTATCTATCTATCTATTCATCTATCTCTAAAATCTTCTATCTATCTCAAAATGTTCCATATCTATCTATCTATCTATCTATCTATCTATCTATCTATGCTTTCTTCATCTGTTGATATCCCTAAAACTCTCTTTCAATGTAATATTATTAATAATAAGTGAACGATGGTTAGATAAGTCTCTGTGAAAATACAGCTGAAATTCCCTGACCAGAGTGCGATGAGTACATTGTCACCATTCTATATTTTTCATTTCGCGTATGCGCGTTATTTGTTTTGATTTTGTCGTCTGCACAGTATAGTAGGGTCAGTTGGGCACCGTCTGTGAAAAGAGAACGATCATGTAAATTAATTTCCCAGAAATATGGAAACGGCTTGCTGTACTGCTTGGCATTCGCACACCAATACAAAGATTTCAAAGCGTTTGGGCAGTGCTGAGGATTCGGCAAGATTTCGATAAGTCCAATGGTGATTACAAAGGTACGGCAGCTCGGAAAACTCACTGTAGTCTGATAAGAAAAGAAAATGCACGTTTGTTGGTGAGGGACTCAGACTCAACACGGGGGCCTACATCAAGTGCTTTGAGGAAGTATTGCTGCCCTGGGTCAAGATGGTGAACCCTTTGTCTGGCAACGGGATTCTGCAACAACCTAAACAAGCAAGAGAACCCAATCATCGCTGTCAGACAATTTATGAGACCACATCCCGCCTTACATCTGACCACCTAAGTCTCCAGACTGAACCCCCTGATATTATGTATAGGACGCAGTTGAACGAGAGACCAACAAAACTCCTTGTAACTATAATAAACTACAGGCAAGGATTATGGCAGCATTCACTAACTTCAAAAAGGTGTTCGTATAGAAGAGTTGCAGAAGATTCCGAAGTCGTCTGGAAGCCGTGATTCAAGCCAATGGAGATTTTTTTGAATAAATTTACTCTTTAGTATTTCAAGATATTTTTGTGTGATTTTGGTAAGTATATCTGTTAAAATGAGATGTCAGTGTTATTTTCATTTTTGCGTAATTTAGACGACAATTTTTCAATCGCGTCCTATACACATACGGAAGAAGGGGGGTGGCTTGAGAAGTTGAAGGGAAGAAAGAGAGAGGAAGTTAGCGAGCCACTTACCTGGCGATCTTGTGTAAATGGATGGCGGAGAACGGGTCGGCTGCTTCAGCAAAAGGAGAAAACTGCTGCGAGACACAAGAGATATAAGGTTATGGAGACGTGCCACATAGAAAAATAACTTTTACGACGGTTTTGCGTTATTTTGCTCGAAGAAACATTGTAAAATTAAAAATTATAATCAAGTAAACATATGCAAAGCTTACAAAGTTAAGTAGCCTCAGGGATTTCAATATTAATGTGAAACTTGGAAAATCTGGTTAAATTTTATAAAACAGTTGGCACATCGTAAAAGTGGCATGTCACCTGATATAATTTATTTACATTACGTGAAATAGCCTGCAGATTTGTAGCGTAAATATTTCTGTGAAGCTCTTAATTCTTCTTCGTATTCTTTTATCAGCTGTGTCCCTTTAGGGAGCGTGTACATGGCTCTCCACAACATCTTGCCCTTTGTAGCGTTTATTAATATTTGTCTTTTCGTTACATCTAATCCCTGTTAGTTTCCTCAAAAGGGAAAAAATAAAAGCCGCTCATCATGTGAGACACAGTGTGTATGTCCGCGTGTAACTTGAAGCTTTTGAAAAAAAAAAGGGAAACCTTTTTTTTTTGACGTGAAGTTCGTTCTACATGTATATTTGTCATTCGCCTCAAGCAACATTTTGTTTACGTTCTGTCAATATATCTAAGGAAAATTGACAGCGAAATTGAATATGCCCGACAGCTAAATAACCTGACGGGTTGATCTTTGTAATTTTATAAAATTTCCCGGATGGAAGTTTCGCCATTTTATTGATACGTGTGGCATATAAAGATATTATGGTGGTGATAATTATCTATCTATCTATCTATCTATCTATCTATCTATCTATCTACATTATTATTTATCTATCTACTTATCATAATCTGTCCGCATATTTCTTTTTATTTCTCTATCTATATTGTTTATCATTCTATATATTTCGGTTGTTATCTATCTATCTATCTATCTATCTATCTATCTATCTATCTATCCTATTCCATTTGCATGTTCGCATATTTCTTTATCTTCTTTTTCTTTCTTTCTTTCTTTCTTTCTTACTTTCTAACCGATTCAGTTCGCATATTTCTCTCTTCCGTTCTTTCCTTCTTTTATCTATCTATCTATCTTTCTATCTATCTATCTATCTATATATATATATATGTTATTATCTATCTATTTACCTACTTATCATATCCTGTCCGCATATTTACTTCTTTTCATCTCTCTCTATCTATATTGTTTATCTATCTATACATTTTTATTGTTATCTATCTATCTATCTATCTATCTATCTATCTATCTATCTATCTATCTATCTATCTTTGTATCTATCTAACCTATTCCATTTGCATATTCGCATATTCTTTATTTCTCGCCTTCTTTTTCTTTCTTTCTTTCTTTCTTTCTTTCTTTCTTTCTTTCTTTCTTTCTTTCTTTCTAACGTGTTCCCATATTTCTTTCTTTCGTTTTTTCCTTCTATCTATCTATCTATCTATCTATCTATCTATCTATCTATCTATCTATCTTATTCTGTTCATGTCTATCTATTTTGGATTTTGATATGTTTTGATATCAGATTTTCATGAGCAGATATGGGCTTTTGAGAAGCTCTAAACCAGACGATGCGCATTATTCAAAGGTTAATTTCGTCTTGCTGGACTGTCACGCTGTGACCAAACGTTCTGAACTCGCCGGATTAGACGGTGGTTTTTCCTATAAAGGAATTTCAAGTTTGAAAACTGCCGAAACGTAATCACTTTATTCAGTCTTTCGAATGTGCAGGCCGGTAGACGCAATTCATACTCTTTTGAAACGCACGCGTCTACTCAAGCATGGATATCCACAAAATGATTTACTATGAAATAGTTTACCCTCTATCTTGGGCGTTTAATTTGTATTATATACCATAGTTTACTATATGTATTATATACCATATATTATATATAGTATATTATATACCATAGTTTACTATATATATTATATACCATATATTATATATAGTATATTATATACCATAGTTTATTGTATATTATATACCATATATTATATATAGCGTATTATATACCATAGTTTATTATATATATTATATACCATATATTATATATATAGTATATTATATACCATATTTTACTATATATATTATATACTATATATTATATATAGTATATTATATACTATAGTTTACTATATATATTATATACCATATATTATATATAGTATATTATATAAATATAGTTTATTATATATATATTATATACTATATATTATATATAGTATATTATATACCATATTTTACTATATATATTATATAACATATATATATATAGCATATTATATATTATAGTTTGCTATATTATATACCATATATTATATATATAGTATATTATATATATAGTTTACTATATATATATTATATAACATATAATATATATAGTATATTATAAATATAGTTTATTATATATATTATACCATATATATATATAGTATATATATACCATAGTTTACTATATATATTATATAACATATATTTGTGACGGTTACACACCTGGCCCAGGGTCGAATCCCTTGGTTACGGCGCCAACTGTGACGTCGCTCCTCCTGGTCGCTCCTCCTGGTTCCAAGCGTGCCGCTCCAACCCTTGGTTAGATGATCACCAGCCTCGCCTTTCCTAACTCGCTTCCAATACCTGGTTATTGAAGCAACTGTACTGATCTCCGGTCTGTCTACCCACGTTGTGTTTAGATCTTAGACAGACGGGACCAGCAGGGATTGGGGCCGATACAAGTTGAGTCCGACGGGGTGGCAAAACACAAATAAAAAGAAAAAAAACTCACGAGACAAAAAGATTGCTGATAAAAAAGGGTAACAACCTTTTATATCTAATGTCCGTTACATAAAACAAAATTGTTCTCATTTCCCGACCCGCTCTGTGGACTATGGCAAGCTTCTATCACACACAACCTAAAAGATTTCGAATTGCCTACTCTTTAGAATTGTGTATGTCGGAGTGTGGTTTAGCTCGACACTGGGGCTAATTTCTATCGATCATTCGCAGTTGATTCTTCTTCTTCGTCGACTTAGGCTGGAAGTTCTCTTGTCTTCGACTTGGGTTGGATCTTCTCTGCGGCTTTCGAGTAATCTTCTTCTTTGTCCACTTGGGCTGGAAGTTCTCTTGTCTTCGACTTGGGTGGAAGGATTTCTTGTTTCGACTTGGGTGGAAGGATTTCTTGCCGCAACTCAGCCGCTACTCTCTGTCGTCCGAGGTGATCTCTTCTCGCTGCCGTCCGGGGCTGAACTCTGCCGTAACTCTGCCACAACTCTTGGCGTCCTTCGAGCAATCTCCTTCTTCGTCTGCTTGGGCTGGAAGTTCTCTTGTCTTCGACTTGGGTGGAAGGATTTCTTGTCTGAGGATTCTCTTGCCCGCAAAGGGGCGAGTGAATCCGGGCCTGATGCCCGCGTTCAGGCTCTATCCCTGCCCGCGGTCCAGCTGCAACTCAGCCGCTACTCTCAACTCAACTGATTTCTGTCGACTGGGGTCCTGCTTTTATTGACGCCGCAGCAAACCGGGGTGGGTCTGTTGGCGTCAGGGGTTTTCTCGATAATTCCAATAGCCGCATTAATTCTGTTTCCCCATTATCGCTATTGTTTTCACCCCTACTTCCTCACAGTGCCTTTGGTGGGGAGGCGTACACCCATCTCTCCCGGTTTCTCGTATGTCAGGTGACCGTTTTTTGACCAATGGTTCCTGATCGAGCATTCTTCTCTTCTTTCCGCATATCACGTGACCGCTTTCGGCTAATGAGATTGTGGTTGGGCGCCTCCCATCTCAAATCGGGCGTGGCTTACATCGTTCTTGTTTTAAAAAACAAAATCTAATTTTGCCCTTTTTGCACGTACGAAAAAATGACAATCTTGGCTTTTTTCTCACCTGGGCTCTGTCAAAACAGCCTGCCGCTAATTAGATGTGACTTCAGGAAAGAATATTGGCGCCATCTGTGAGCTGAGACAATCGTTTTCACCTCTTGTTTTTTTGTCAGACCCGACAGTCAGAAAATCTTAATTATCTACATTGAAAATGTCCCCACTTTTATTATCGTGGGTTTCCAATTCTTAATAGGTCAGGATCTGTATACCGTTCCACCGGTCACTCCCCTCAACCAAAAAAAAAAAAAAAAAAAAAAGACACTTTTTTCTCCGATTAAAAAAAATTTCGTTTCTATTGTTCTAAAAAGAAATTCCCTTTCTCCAATTTGACAATGAGTCTTTCCACAAAAAAGTAGGCTAGGTGCTTTGACCGATATTCTTATCAATTCCAATACACTGTCATCAAGCCTGGTTCTTTTCTCCCTCTAAAGGATTTTTCATTTCAAATAACAATTCTCTATTGTCTTTTTAAAATTCGGCCAACACGCAGGCCAAGATATCTTTCTGACACCCTATCTTCGCTTTATGACCGGGTCATGCATCATCCATCTCTTCCTTTTTTTTCCCTTTCTTCCTCTTTTTTTCCCCCTTCCTTCTTCTTTCCTTAGGATCGTCTAAGTACAACTCTAGTGAATTATTTTCAACTCAATTATTTTCCGTTTAAAAAAAAATCAACAACCTGTTTAATAAACCGAGTAAAAAAAAAATTAAATCATATTTCTATGAATATTTCTAATAATGCAAGGTGCCACATATTATATATAGTAAATTATATGCCATAATTTACTATATATATTATATAACATATATTATATATAGTATATTATATACCATAGTTTACTATACATATTATATGCCATATTTTATATATAGTATATACCATAGTTTACTATATATATCTGGTGTGTATTTGGCCAGCAATCCTTCTTTATGATAGGTTTCATTGAATATAATTAATAAGGTATTCTGCTAATTTTTTCTCGTGTGTGAACATGATATTTCTTTTTTTGGGCATATTGGATGGAGAAATTATGTAAATAAGTCCTCCTCTCTAGTGCTTTCTGCCTGTTCGTCACTTCGAATCCGACACATGACAAGAAGAAAACGAAATAGGCAATAAAAACAAAAGTTGTATATGCCCGACAGTTTATTTAGCAACAGTTAGAGTTACATACTACATAATATTTCAATGTAACCATCGGCGGCGGCGACGACCATCTCAAGGCGGGCGCGAAATGAGTCACACGCTTTTGCGACCATGTCCTTGTCCATAGCGGCGAACGCCTCCACGATGGCAGCCTTCAGAGAGTCGACTGTGTTGTGGTCGAGCTTTTGGTCTTGGCTTCGATCACGCCCCAGAAGAAATAGTCAAGGGGGTTGCAGTCGGATGAGGATGGCGGCCACAAGTCCGGCAACCAGTGGTGAGGAACATTGTTAAGCAGCCACGCCTGGGTCGTCTTAGCCTTGTGTGCAGGAGCGGAGTCCTTCTGGAAGATGTAGGGGCGTCCGGTGGCGATCTTGTCTATCCAGGGCTTCACCAGGCTCCTCAGCATCTCCTGGTAGATCTCAGCGGTTACTCTCAGCCCCTTTTGAAAGAAGAACGGAAGCATGACGTCCCCCTCGCTGAAGATGAGGCCAAGGACCATGACGGAGCAGGGAAAATTTGTATGCTTCACGGTGGGAACCTTCTCGATGTCTTTGCAGATCCACTTGTCGTTCCGCCTGTTGCTCGTTGGGTCCTGGATGAAGAACCACAGCATCCTGGCGGACCCGTGCTTGAGCTCCTTCAGAAAAGCCGCCACCTTGACCGGGTATAGTAACACGTGGGGAAAAATCAGGCGTGACTGACCACATACGGAGAGAAAAGGAAGATCACCACCCTCTGTGGGATCAGGTTGAGGTCATAGACAAAGAACACCATTGGAAAATTCGTAAACTTAAGGAATCATCACATATGCTAGGCCACAAAAATCTCCTGAGCCGACCAAGCATAGAAATAAATACAATATGGGAACCAGTAATAAGGAGTGCCAGAGAAAAGCGATAATAACAAAAGTTGCATTATGAGCTCTGGTAAAAAAAATGCAATGATAACTGCAAAAATTGCAATATGAGCACTGGTAAAAATGATTGCTGAAGACTTTAGGTTTATAATACCCATAAATTCATACACAGATCTCCTCAAAGGACACATGGCACAGATAAAGGCGTTAGTTAGATCAAGTGGCAGGGCCCAAAGAGCGTGAGTTCAATACCCGGCTTATTCGTTGAGATAGGGACATTTAAATTTTTAAGAACTGTCATTTACACCTTTCGATGGCTAATGACTATACATGTTGTTGATCCGTAGAGCAAGAGAGATTGTACCATTGTCTTAAAGAAGTCCCTCTTAAAATTGTCAGAGGTGGTGCTCAGATCATCAAAGACACCCCAGGCATTGCTTTTGCGGATTCTGATATCTCTCTCTGTTGCCTTGATGTTGCTTCCAAGTTAAACAAGTTCCTGGACGGACTTGATGTTGTTGCCGTTTTTCAACTTAATTTCTCCTTCGTTGTAACTGATAAATTCTGTTTTGAACAGCATTAATATAGAGATCAATCTCGCTGGCAAATTATTAATCACTTACAAAACCGCGTAAATGCTTTTGAAAGTTCAGTTGGAAAGTGAGGATTGGGTTTTAATTGGCATGCCTTCTTGGGAAACATTGTCGTTTAGTTTCTCGTTGCCTTCTCCTTGGTTTTGAAGTTTTCCTCATCTTAGATTGGCTGCTGTTTAAGGAACTTTATCAAAGACTCGCCCGTTATCTAAAGTCTCTTGTCCCTTCAGAGATTCTTTTTTTTTATTATCTGGGAATTGACATGCTTTCTTGGGAAGCATAGTGGACTGTCTTGCTTTTACCTTCCCCACTGTTAGGCTGGTTGCCATTCCAGAATTGTTGGCAAGGTCTACCATTCTATGTAAAATGTCTTGCCTCTTCATGACGGAGGCACGTAAGTCTCCCCAAAGTCTCTCTGAATTTACATGTATTTTTGGGATACAGAGGGAAGAAGTTTCCCGTTACTTATCGCTTATTTTTTAAATTTCAAAGTCGTTCTTCTCTTAGATTGGTTACCAATCAAAACAACCTCAATCTACATTGTTATCTAGCTCATAACCGGTAGGGAATAGTCAAACTCATGCCTATTCCAAACGTATTTATTCGTTTTCTACGGCTTATCAACCCCTTGCAGGTTATTTAAAGCCAGAAAAATATTTCTAAATCGTTAGATTTTATTTTTAAGAAAATAATAATTTAAGGATACATTTCGTACTAATTAACCCATAGCTGGAGGGAGAAGAGGCGAATCCATACCCTTTCCCAAAAATATTTGAACGTATGGGAATATAACGAACACAACCGGAATTGGAACTCGTCTCTCTCATTAACACTTTTGAGCTGTTATTCATTAAACCATCCGCACATTTGAACTTACAGCACCTGATATTCCTAAGCTGTCACCCATACGGGTACTGACCTGGCTCGACGTTGCTTAACTTCGGTGATTGTACGGAAACCGGTGTTTCAAGATATTGTGGCTATAAGCCGAAAGACATGTCAAGAATTCTCTCGACTCGCCGATTTGAGTTTCCACGCCGATCACCGCTATTCTACCCAAACATCCGTGATATGACTTTTCTAAATTAGGTGATATGCATTAGTTGAATCTAATTTAGACAAGCAAATTAAGATTGCAAGCCTCGATAATTGAGAATTTATTAATCATAGATTTGGTTTAGCTTAAACTTTACTTTTATTTCTGCTCACTGACTAATATTTCTTGAATCAATCTCATACATATGTGATTGTTAGTAAAAATACGTGGAAGTGTTTTCACGAATGCATAATCGAAGCTCGAGAAAGCAACTGCAAAAAAAAAAAAAGAAAAAAAAAGTAAAGCATTGCTGTAGTCACGGCTTTTTCTCTGAGTTTTCTTGCGTTAGGTTCATTTCACATTTATCGCTCATTGCTCAGGCATTTGGTTATATGCACTGATAGGGATGCCATAGCAACAAGGAATGAGTTGCGTCTGTAACAAGTCTGCTAAGTGTGTGAAATGATGGAGGCGTTAATGAGGAAAGCAGCAAGAACGAGAGGAATGAAAAGAAACGACCAATTCCTGCGACAAAGGACAAGAAAAGAAAGAAGTTTATATATATACATACATACATACATACATATATATATATATATATATATATATATATATATATATATATATATATATATATATAACCAGCCCTCATCAGAAGAAGCGTTGGCGAATTAGAAGCAGTATATATTAAATTACCCCGGCCGTCTTTGTGCTGACAGAAAGAGAAATTCAAGCGTCCTCTTTCCTTACTGGGAAGATTGTGAGTTTTGATTTCCTCTTTATACTCACTGAACAATTTATCCTGGTTCATGCCATTTTTCATCCCCTGCTATTTTTTCTCCCGTTTTAATATTAAATTATATTGTAGACGGAGTCTCTTGCTTCCTCCCAGGCTGTTTGTCGTCGACGATTCATCTGATGAGGTACTGGTCGAAAAAGGTTACCTTTCAGGAAAAAAATATGCGGCCTTATATATTTAAAACTGTATGTATATATTATAATTATTTTTCAAAATATGATTCCATCGCGACACAGAAATTTATGTTTCGAAACTTGACTCGAGTCCTAAAGTTTAATTTCAATATTAAACTCAAATTTAGAGTACCGTTTCATTATCAAGCGATGTTTAGAATAACTAACTGAAGAAATGTTTTACTCATTTATAGGTTAGAAATGGAGGTGTAATCTGGGTTTTTTTCTTTCGTTATCAAGGGGCTACTACTCTGATTAAAGTATGAATGTTTATTATTTGTAAAATTTTTGGAGATTTGGTTGGAGGATTTTTGTCTGGTTACAATGGTAATTTAAAAAAAAATTATAATTTTATAATTTAACCTCTACTCCTGTATCAAACACCGTTTTTTTTTTAAAACAAAAAAACAAAACAAATACTAAAGAACTTTGGATCATCAATCTGACCGTACTTAACATATTAAATCAACATACAGACACTCTCTCACACACACACACACACACACACATATATATATTGATAGATAGACAGGTAGATAATTAAGTGTATATGTTTGCATATAATAAGAGTGTATGTATTTATGTATACGTCTTTAAATATGATTCGTTGCATAGATGTGCTATAGAATGTAATTAAAATACAGAGCAAGAAAACAAAATGCTTAATTACTACATAAGTAGCTGTCTTCTATCCGTCAGATCTAATAACAGCATAAGTATATATATATATATATATATATATATATATATATATATATATATATAATAAAAAAAGGCTTAAACACTAATATTCCATGGTCATAATTTATTCCATTGGAATCGTAAATACGATCCAATTCATCAGACCTGAAAATTCAAAAAGAAAACAGAAAAAACAATTCCGGAAATAAAAATAGAATTTAGAGAGAGTGTAAGTATGAGAGTGTGGGACGAGTTAAAGTAAGTACTAGCATTTTAACATCAAATAAACTGAAAACTACAGACATCAAGTTTATCGACGAGGATCAAGACGCACTATGGATTAACAGTATTTTAATGCATATATTATGTTTCTAGCGATGGATGTCGCCAATAATCGCATTAATACTTCTGATTGATATATTCTATATGTATATATATATATATATATATATATATATATATATATATATATATGTAAGATAATCCTAAAGGAACCAGGTAAACCAATCTAGGTTTCACCTAAACGGATCTTCAGGGTAAAGCCGGCTAAAAAGGAAAATTATGGAACAGTATTTATTGCTAAAACCAAAAGTAACCATGACCACGTGACAAAAAAAAAAAAAAAAAAGACAAACAACGTGTGGGGGGGGGGTATGTACGTTATTGAACAACCAACAAAAAAAAAAAAAAAGAATTTCCGATTTTTGGTTCAATAAATTTTTAGCTTCCTTGTAGTAAGCAAAAGCTAGTTTTTTTCTCCATACATAGAGAACAGAACTTATCACCTGCCTTATATTTATAACATATTTTTTTTTTAATATTTCCCATTTCAAAATGGTGTCCTTATTATCTTCTTGTTTGATCTCCCATATATATTTGGACAGGGTAGTACTATCTTTATAGGTTTCTCTATTGAAACTACTGAAGTGGTTATAATATCGTTTTTTGAAACTCTTCTGGGTGGATCTTATATAAACTTTAGGGTTCTTATTAATATTGTTCAATTTATTTCTGTGTATTGTTACTTGATAGACCATCTACTCTTGTTGGCATTTGCCCTCGAGAGGGCAGGTTTCCTTATTCCTACAATTACGTTTAGGTGGCGCGGTGCGTCGTTTGTCTTTAATTTTTACTCGTTTTGGTTTTTTTTTTCTTTGGATTTGGAGCTTAAACACTGGACGATTTTTTTCGCCTTGTTTTAATGTTCTTGGTTCTTTCTTTTTTTATTCCCTATTTTTCCTCAGGTATCGATTTGTTCTTCTGCAAGTTGAGCTATCTGAGGTTTTTCCAAACGAGTACCATATATATATATATATATATATATATATATATATATATATATATATATAATTAAATATATTTTATGGTAAAAAAGAGATAAATATCCGTCAAAGAGTGTATTTAAATATAAAGTGGACAACACTGAGAAAGTCTTTTTCATGCTTAAACGTAATCTTCAGTTAGAATTTTTGTCAAGTAGTTGGTGATCAATAGATCAATACAATAATCAAAGCCATCTACTGAATCAGAAGAATGAATTAGTGTTAAAATGTCGACATGAAAACATTCAAATTTCCATCACATAGGTTTAACTTAATTAGCTACCATATTTCCATAATATTCACTCCACACTAACTCTTCAAATGTCGACATTATAACTAATTCAAATTTTCTATATTTTATTGCCCTCTCTAACCTCTTTATAGTATATTAATTATAAACTATAAATGTTCCCCTAATTTAAAATCTCACCAAATTTCTTTCCTTTAATTCCTTACTTCTTTTTATCTATATATTTTAAATTTACTTTTAGGCACCTTTTTATTCCTCTATTAATTTTAAATTAATATTTCATTCTTCATTTAACCTCAAATTAATGTCATAATTTTAATCTCCCTGTTTTATTTTATAAAACTTCTTCCCTTTAAGACAAATACCTTCCACCCTCCGCTGACTCCTGTGTCATGTCTTTAATCTGACTGAAACATTGAAATGGATAAATTCTATATTAGTTTTTCGACAGGTTGATTTTTAGCTTTCTATTTCACGCCCCTCCTACATTGTATAGAAACAGATTGAGTCTACACCGGGGGTGATAAGACAGACGACCGATATCTTCGTCTGCCGAAATAGACGATTCCCCATATGAGGTAATATTAGACTTTATTGTTTATATATATATATATATATATATATATATATATATATATATTTATATTATGAAATGGACAAAGTCGACAATTATTTTTGAACATTTTATGTTTATACATTCTTTTTATAGATACAAATATTTAAGTAACTGCTCTTGTGAAAATTTTCTCGGACATTCAGGCCGGTAAATGTTATTTAATACTGCTTATTATAAACAGAGCATTTACTTAAATATTTGTATATAAAAAGAATGTATAAACATAAAAATGTCTTAATATATATATATATATATATATATATATATATATATATATATATATAGTAGCATTGATAGCAATTTCTTATTTATGCAGGCTTCATTAAAGACCAATGAAATTTCTTGATTTTTTTCTTCGGTTCTGGCCATTTTCTGAAGGTGCGACGTTCGAATGTTCTGACTGTGCTAAATACGGTGCCTGGTTTATAAGCAAGACCATTGCCTCTCGGCTTCGATTACCACGTCCTCGGGCCCATCAACTGGGTACTCTGGTCCCATGTTGTGTCCACTGATAATCTCCGTCGGAGGGCCGGCTTGCCGACGATCGCCGTGTTCGCTGGCTTGGTCACGCCAAACGACGGCATGAGTTCTGCCGCATTAAAGTTATCTACCAGTTTAACAGGCCATCTTCAGGGCTGTGATTATCACCCATCAGACCACGCAAACGCTGAGAAAACTCCATTAAATAAATAAGGCGACCGAGAATGTTTTAAGACCGTGTGAGCCGGAGGGACAAACTGGCTCTTGGGGCTGAACGTCTTCATGGCATGGGATCTAGAATCTTCAGCAGCGGCATTTGAAAGCCATCGAAGGAAAACAAGGTATATCCACAGACACAATTCTATTAAATAATAAAAATATTTACCAATGGTTTATAAAAGAAAGCTTTCAGAAGATATTGAAGTTCAAACTTTCATTGGTCTTATTTAAACCTGCATATATATATATATATATATATATATATATATATATATATATATATATATATATATCTTCGATTCTTTCATCGTATTCGACGTATGAGGTCAAGCAGCTCAGTTCCTAGGAACCAACTGCCCGACATCAGCACATATGATTAGATTACAGTGTGTGA